AGTTATCCCAGCTTTTATGAAAATTTTTAACATAACTACGGATAATTTTCACTATATTTCTATTGACCCGTTCCGCTATATTTGATTGCGGCCGATACGGGACCATTTTTAAATGACGTATGCCCAGTTTTTGGCACATGTCTTCAAATATATTACTTACAAATTGAGGACCATTATCCGATATAACTTTTAGGGGCGCCCCGTATTTTAAAATATATTTATTTAAAATAGAATCAGTAACTAATTTCGCGGAGGCTCGTTTTAAGGGAACAATTTCGGTCCACTTACTAAAATGATCAACCATAACAAGGAGATAGCGACTTTTATTTAACTGACTTTTTGGGAAAGGGCCCAATAAATCGATGCCAATTATTTCATTTGGAAATTCGGATTTAATACTATTTAGAAACCCGGCCGGGCGGAAATTAATATAATTAACTGCTTGACATGTTGGGCAGGACTGGACATACGCCCTTGTTAACTTTTGCAGTTCAGGAAAATAGACTGCCTCGCGTACGCGTTGGATAGTTTTTCGAATACCAGCATGAGAAGCTAAAGGGCTGTCATGGAGCTCCTGCAGGATATTTAATCTAAGACTAGCTGGGATAACAGGTCGAAATTCGTTGTTGGAATTCGTAGTTTTTTGTATAAATAATAGACCATCTATTAGTTCGTAATGGGCCGCCCTATTTCTTATCGCCACAATATCTTGGTGGCTAAAATTTTCAGGATCCTTTAAATACTCATAAATGCTTCCAAACTCAGGATCCTTACCCAGTTCGGTTATTACAGTTTCTCGGGAATTTATTGTACATGCTGTGAGCATTGCCACCTTTACGGTATTACCTTCTTCATCTATTTTAATTCTGGATAGGGCATCTGCTACGATATTTTCCTTTCCGGGGGTATGCTTGATTACCAGATTATATTCTTGTAGCTTGAGTGCCCATCTTATTAACCTTGGGGATAAGTTTTTTCCCTGAGTACAATCTAGTTACCGCCGCATGATCAGAGTACACTGTTATTGGCGCCTTTCCAAAATAGACTCGGAACTTTTGCACTGCTAACAGAACTGCAAGTGCCTCTCTCTCGGTCGCGGAATAGTTTCTTTGTGTTTGATTTAAAGTTCGGCTAAAAAATGCCACGGGCTGCTGATTTTGCGAAAGTACCGCTCCTACCGCATAATCCGAAGCATCCGCTGAAATTTCTAAATTCTCATCCTTTTCAGGAAATTTCAACACAGGGGCTTGCGTTAATGCTTGTTTTAATTTTTCGAAAGCACTATTGGCTTCGGCCGTCCACGAGAATCTTGCCTTTTTCCTTTTTAATTTTAACAATGGTTCAGCAATAGCTGCAAAATCTTTTATAAAGGACCTATAATATGAACAAAGTCCTAGAAAAGAAGAGAGCTTCTTCGCCGTGTTTGGAGTCGGATACTTTTGTACAGCGATTATTTTTGATTCGTCTGTCTCGATTCCTTTCTGAGATATTTTGTAACCTAAATATTTTAATTCAGGGGCTGCAAATTTGCACTTTTCGACATTAACTTTTAGACCGGCCTCATTTAATAAAGAAAACACCTGTCTTAAATCCTGTACATGTTGGTCGAGATTATCACTAGTAATAATGATATCGTCTAAATAGATAAATGTGGACTTTCCAAGAACAGGTCTTAACACAATGTCCATACATCGCTGAAATGTTGCCGGTGCCCCTGAAAGGCCAAACGGCATACGCAAAAATGCATAAGTGCCAGACTTGGTTATAAAAGCAGTCTTAGGCACGTCCTCAGGCCTAACCCCTATTTGAAAATAACCAGTCGTTAAGTCTAAAGTCGTCATATATTTGGTGGATTTATGTTCCTTAGAATTTCTTCAATAATAGGTAACGGATATACCGGATATTTAGTTATGGAGTTTAATTTACGGTAATCAATTGCGAATCTCCACCTTTTTGGATGTGTCAAAGGATAGTCATTATTTTTCTTACATAAAACCACCGGGCTAGCATAACTACTTGAGATGGGCGTTATGATCTTTTTACGTAGCATATCGGTGATATGCCATTCTATAATTTTTTCCTTATTCTTATCATACCGGTATGGCTTTGTGGCGAACTGGCATTGAATCTCCGGTGTCAATACTATGGTTAGTAACCTGAGTAAATCCTGGAATATCACTAAATAACGAAGCAAATTCACTTACCACTTGTCGGATTCTTCCTTGCTCGTCATTAGGCAGGTGGTCAAGATTTAACATCGGCGGTTCAGCCTTTTCTCACGAACTGGTTTCATCGTCAGCTTAAGGGACGCTTCATTAAAATCCAGCGTTGCTTGTGCCTCTGAAAGAAAATCTATTCCTAAGATTATATGTGCTTGCAGATTCTTTACTATAAAAAACATCACCTTTACTTGTTCGTCCTTGATACGGACATACAGCGGTACTTTACCTATACACTTACATTTTTCTCCTTGCGCCGCTAACACTGTCGTATTATCCGAATTATATATGCGGTATTTCCGAAAATACTTCCTAAAAAAATCTTCTGCCACACAGGAACACTGCGCGCCTGTATCCAGGAGTGCGGTGGCTGGGATATTATTCACCAACACTTCAATCTTCGGAAGAGTCAAATTTTTCACCATTACTGTATTTAACTTGAAGGAAGAGGGGTTTTCGTGGCCTTCGGATTTCCGCACCCTCCCGTCAGCAGAAATCCGTTTTAGTTTAAATTATTTTTCATTTCCGTGCTTTCCTTCTTTTTCCACTGGCCTTGAGACTTTTTTCCTGGATTGCTATTGAACTGTCGACGTTCGCCGGCTGTTTTTGAATGCTCGGGTTTCCTTGCCCACTGATTCGCTTTGCTTCCGTAGCCGTGTGCTTGAGTTTGCTGTAGTCTTGGCGCACCAAATTGGTTTCGCTGTTGATATTGGCGTCTTCTTTCAATGTCCGCCGTTCTTCTACTTTCAAACTGGATTGCTAGCTCAAATAACTTTTCCAGTGTAGTCGGATTTCTTAATTCAATAAAGTCTTGCACTTGGGGCAGTAACCTCGGCAAAATCACTTGAATTATCTCAGGATCCGGACGGTTTCCATACAAGAGTTTGAAGACGTGAATTTTTCTTAAAATAAAGCTTGAGAGATTTTCGATTCTTTGTTGATATATACTGAAAAGTTCCGTTTCTAATTTCGCACGATCCCTTACAACAGGGAAGGCTTTTACTAGGGCAGTCTTGAAATTTCTCGTAAGTATAGGTGGGACTTCCTGCTTGACCCAAGAGACTTCTGCCTATACATTTGAACCAGTTAAGCGCTTGGCCCCTCAAAGCGCTGGTAGCTAAGGTAACTTTTTGAAACTCGTGCACGGGGTAGAGCATGAAGTGGTCATCCAATTTTTCCAAAAAACTGGTTACCGGTGAGTTTCCATTAAATGTTGCTTCTGGTTTCATCGAAGCGCGCATGGTCTGGACGATGTAACCAAATCCTTCCAGGGCGGCAGCTGGCATTTCTGGATTCTGAGCCGCTTCTGCAGGCAGCACAGGTTCTTCTTGAAACTCGGCCATGGTTATTCTTCTTCGTTGGGCGCCACTATCAGGTTCAATGTTCCGTCTTACTTTCTTCGGGAACATGCAAGGACCTGACTCGGAACAGAGAGCTTACTAAAGCTATGTTCAATAACTGTGGGAAGTAGACAGGATACACAAGAAGGGTATACAAAACCCTTTATTTTTCTCTATTTACAATAACTTCCGTACTTCGGAATACAAGACCCACTACTTGGGTCTAAACGTAAAAATATAAAAATAAAACTAAACTCTAATTTAACTTTAAAATAATAAACGTGGAAGATTGGCCTTATATTAACAGGAAGCCGTATGTAGTACAGAGAACTGTGAACACTACAATACGTTTAAAATTATCAAGAGGATTAAAACCTCTGGCCTGGAAGGCAACCAGCAACTGAGTAAAACTTCTAAGGTAAGCGGCCTGTTTCGACTCACTGCTTCCTCTCTCTCGCTTGGCAAAAAGCCACAACTTAAATACTTGGCGTTCGCCAGACAAACTTTGCATAAATACATTAACGCTTATAATTCTGGCCGGAAGTAGAAAATAAGAAGTGATAGTAAAGATTTAAAATAAAATAAACGTTAGTAAAACTTAAGATCCTTACAAAGTGACAATAATATCGATCATCTTCAGAGAAAGTTTTGTAGCAAACAGGAGGACATGGGCACCAAATTCTGCTGCCCATGAGGCAAGCTCTAACATTACCTCTTCCTGTCTCTTATTGTCCAACATTACCTCTTATTATCTTTATATGTATGGCAAAGTCTTAAGAATATCTTGTGTTGACATGCGCTTGAAATACAAACAGTTTATCACAGCTCGAATTTCTGTTTTGTCTGTTTTGAAATTCTGGTTCGCATAATATATTATGCAGATTTTAGATATTAAAAGCAAAAAAAGAAAAATGCTATAAACATCAAATTTATCGTTAAATCTTATATAGAGTTATATAAAATTCTGTTATTCTATCATTTTTAATTTCCTTTTTTACTCTTCTAGTGAACATTCAGATCTAGTGATGAATTTACCAAAAGGATAACAGCACAATATTTTACTTAAGCTCTTAATGTTATAAAAATCTTGCCTTGTGAGATTTATCAGATTATTTTTAACTAATAGTTAATTTTAAGTTTTAGTACTTTCCTATCACTCTCTTTTCATCCACGCTTTTTATGCCAGAAAGTAAACGAGATAGCTCTATAGTGTATGCTCTCTATATTTTATAGCTTTACAATTTTATTCTTCTTTATCTCTTTCATTATTAAATGAAATAAATAATTTGCTGAACTATGATTTTAATAAACCCAAATAATTAAAAGTAAAATATTGTTTGTTTTATGCAATTTATCGTTTGTGTATTTATTTCATTACATCACTATTTAAAACGTCTCTTATCTTTGGTTTCTAATAATATATTTTCTTGCATTTTTAAAGTTAGGAAGACTTCAACATTATGCGATGGGAGATTACTTATTGAAGAGATACAAGTCTTTCATAACAACTAATCCCAAAGAAGTAAGTGTTGTTGACATTATTTACGTGCTATTTTATTCAAAATCAATTTAAATTAATATTAATCATAATTATTAAGGACATAAAGGATTTTCGCGAAGGACAAACTGTGCTGGAACAATAGCAACTCAAATGATAACTCACGAAATGTTTCTAAAAAGGCTTACAAAATCAAATTCAGTCTCACTGCCTAGAATGCGTATTTCTCCATACCAAGCAAGGAAACTAATAAATGAAAAACTTCACAAACTTTTCAAAGCAACTATTGAAATCATTCGTTAATACGCATGGTATTTGGCGTCTTCTGGAAGCTAAGTCAAACTCTAGAGTTTTAAACTCTTTACCTGCTTCAGCAAGAGAGCAAAATAACTCAACAATTTTCCTAATGAAACGGCTTAGTTTATATGAACCATTTTTGAGATTAAAAAATAGTTAAATAAAACCTTGATTCTTGAACTTCCTTCCAAAACGTGTCACGCTGTAGAAAAAAAAATACACTAATTACAGTAATTTGCATTTAGAAGGAACAACTCTTCAATGCTTTAAAACAATAAATTTCTAAATAAAATATTGGCTTTAACTTGCGGGGTGTTGGAAACCCCTATACCGACAATGTTAAACTGTCTATTTTTTATGTATCTTTTCTCAAAATCTGCTGTCGATACACTCTTGAAATTTTTTGTGTAATTAAAGTATACCTATCTGATTATACTGAAATGAGCAATTTAAATCATAGTCCTTATTTGTGATTTACATTTCTGCACTCTGGTGAATTTTTGTAGGGAAAAGAATTTTCCCTTACCTTTAATTTTGATCTTTTACGCACAGCGGCTGTTCTAGATTTTGTTTATAATTGATCTAGAGACTGTGATTTTATGATTTTAATTATAAAAAAATTTTTAGCTGATTATACCAATTTTAGTATAAAATATTTGCAACAAAGTAGGGAAATCATATTTTATCTTATTATATATTTATATTCTTTTTACCTCAACCTTTATTATCTATGAAAATTTTAAACTGTAATTTAAATCACTGCGCTGCCGCTGCTTGTAGGCTCTTTGCAATTGATATCATTATCAAAGAAACACTAGACGTTATTACTTTATAAGAGCCCTTATTATATTCAAAATAAAATTGCGCATGCTTCTGGGGACTTAGAGAGTTGTGCATGCAGAAATGGGTAGAACCGCTATCATTATTACTAAGAAAGCAACTTGAATTTGTAGTGGACGTAGTACAATATTGTATTGTGGCTGTCTCCACGTCTGATGGTCAAAATAACGTTTGATGGTAAAATAACCACGTCTGATGGTATTATTTCGGTTTATTTCTCACCGGCGGAGGATTTCGAATGCACATTTATATGCTTTAGAAAACGTTCTAAAATTGTACAATTTTAACTTTATAATATTAGATGATTTTAATTCTAAAAATTTTAATTGGGGTGCTACGGCACTGGACCAAAGAGGTATTTTAGTTTATGATATTATCATGGTTCATGATTTGAAACTTTTCAACAAAGATGACTCACCTCCGACTATCTCCTCCTCGGTGGGAATTGGTTGGACAGATTTGGTATTAGGGTCACCAAGTATAAATTTTAGCTCTGTGGAAATGAACGTTTTAGATGAACCTACCCTGAGTGACCATAGATATATTTATGTTGATTTACTGATACACTGAGTGACCATAGATATATTTATGCTATAAAAATTAATCATTTATACGAATTTTCTTATTCTTACAGTTCGTTTAGAACGAAAAAATTTGTCAACAAACTGAAAATAGACATTATGAAATTTGAAAATGAACTCGTGACCGTTAGAGATGGAGACAGTTTGAATAATGTGGTCCTCAGGCTGGAAAAAAAGATTAAAATAAACAAGACGTAAAATAAAGAATGGGTGTCAGAGGACAACCTGGTGGACCCCTGAATTAGATATTTTAAGACGTAAGACAAAAGCTGCAAGAAAAAGTTCTCAGATAAAGTATCTGGACGTGGAGACAAGATTACAAAGGAAAGTTAATTACAAAAGCGGTATTTAAAAAAGCAATTAAAAAGACAAAAAGAGACTTTCGAAATTATTTGTTCAATAAAAACAAGATTTATTATGACAAATTTTATAAATATGCCACAAATAAAAGAAAGGAAAAAGTTATATTATATAGAGATAATTGTAGTGTATCCACGTCTGCCATGGAATGTTATTATGAGTTGATTAAAGACATCCTGAGGCTGGATTATTGTTCTAATTATCCTGATTATCAAAATGTTTTTATGGAAGGCAACAAGGAGGTAGAGCGGGCGTTTACTTATGAAGAGATATTTGATGTTATTTCTAGCCTCAGAAATGGCATTGCCACTGGACTCGATGGAATCGGGACTACTTTAATTAGAATTCTTTTTGGGGAATTCACCTCTTTTTATATATTACTTTGCAACAAATGTATGGTTTTAACGACTTTTCCTGATATTTGGAAAATTGAAAAATTGATTCTTGTTCCTAAATCTACAGGCGGACATAGACCCATCTGTTTATTAAAGACCCATGCGAAAATCCTCGATAAACTCATCACAAAAAGATTTGAGCAATTTTTAATGAAAAATAATATTATCAGTTCAAATCAATATGGTTTTCGAAAGAATATGTCTACTGATAGAAAATGAAGGTTTTCGAAAGAATATGTCTACTGATAGAAAATGAAGATTTTCGAAAGAATATGTCTATAACATTATACAATGTGATCCAACAAGTCAGAGAAAAGCGACAAAGTAAGATTGTAGTCCTGATTTCCTTCGATGCCCGAGGGGTATTTGACTCTATTAGCTGGTTCTCCCTACTGTCTATATTAAAAGAAATTGGCATCTCAAGAGATCTGTTTGATATAATTAAAAGTTATCTAGAAAATAGAGAACTAATTTTTATGAGCAACTCTAATAAAATTAATCTTCATTATAAAATTGAAAAAGGCTGTCCCCAGGGCTCATGTAGTGCTCCCCTGTTCTGGAGCCTCATAGCAAATAAATTACTACAAGAAAATGTACCTGATACGAATATTACATGTTATGCTGACGATGATATTATGGTAACTATTGCAGGAGACTGCCTCGGAAAAATAGAGGCTACTTTTAACCTGCTTGAAAATGTTTTTTAAGAAATGGAGTACTGAGCAAAATATCGAATTTAATATTGAAAAAACAAATTGGTATGTTTTTCCCTCGGGAGAGGGAGAAATTGTTAGACCCCCCAGATTGAAATATGATCAAAAAAGAATAAAATTTGTGAATACCTTTAAATACCTGGTTGTAGTGATCGATGATAAGTTGAATTTTATAGAGCATTTTAAGTCAGTACAACGAAAGATAGAAAAAAATTTTAATTATTATAAAAATATTTTTACTCCAATCACTCTTTCTGACAAAAGCTTTACCCTGAGGGATATTTACAAAATTGTTATTATACCGAAAATTCTTTATGGTATTGGCGTATGGGGTGATCGAGCAGGGAGGCTGATCAAGACAAGGCAGAAATTAGACTCATTGCGGAGGGCCTGGACACTTGCAATTACAAGATCTCTTAGAACAGTCCCGACAGAAGTTGCGTGCTTACTGGCTGGTGTACCGCCTCTCTCACTACAATTCAAATTTACTTATGACAAATTTTGTCTGAAACATTGTATAAAACAGATAATAATGTATGAAGATAAAGGAATTACCAGCGAAGCTTTTTTAGAACATGATCTGACTTCAAGCCATCCTAGCGAATATTACGGTATATCCTACGATAAAGACTATATTTCAGCTGGAGAAATTGAAATTTATACAGAAGGATGAGGGTTTGCGGAGAGCATCGACTGTGCCTTTGTTATATTTTTCCTCGGTATTGAAATTGATTACAAAACGTTTACTTTAAAGCCAAGAAATTCAGTTTATCAAGCAGAATTGTTGGCAGTTAAAATGGCTTTATCCTGGATCAAGAAATTATCCGTGGGGTGTTACATTAATTTATACTCAAATATCTTATCTGCTCTTATGGCGCTTTCTCGCCCCTTTCAAAAGAATAATATTGTTAATGAAATTAAGCATATATATTTAGAACTACGAAAGAAGCATATTTTGAATTTACATTGGATCAAAGCTCACGCTGGTCATTATGGGAATTATTGGCGTATGGGGTTCGAAAGAAGCGAAAGAAGCCTCCCTGGAGGTTGGGACCGAAAAGGTTTTTATTCAAGATTCGAAGAAGAAGACATGTACTATAATATATGACAAGCTTATTAGAGACTGGAAAAATTTATGGGATCTCTCTGAAAGAAACAAGAACTATCTAAAATGTTTAAAAATTAGCAAAAAAAAAAAAAAGAAAAGAAAAAAAAAAGAAAAAGAAATGCAAATTTTAGGAGATGCAGATGTCAATCAAATTCTCACTGCCCATGGATGGTTAATCCCATGGATGCCCATGGATGGCCCTGCTGACTTAAAGAGGTTCCACCTCCTAGGAAAATGATATATGTAAAGTTTATAATAAATTCGGCGATTCAAAGCATTTCGTCGAGGACTATTGTCTGAACTGGAAGTGTGAAAGGAAAATATGAATTTGCGAAGTTTGAAGGATTTATTTAATAATTATAAATTGCTTAGAAAATTTGCAAGAGATATTATGCAAACGGTGAATGAGAATAAGAAGAATATTGGTATCGAGATATAACAAAGCAGAAAATCTTACCGGAAACAGAAATAATTGAGTTAACTTATAAATTTGAGATGAATTTTGATAATATAAAGAAGATTTGAATAATAATAACTAATTGAAAGTAAAACTTATAAAGATTTTAAACTTCAGAAAAAAGTCAGAACTGGAAACGACGCATTTATATACTAATTCACCGAGAGTGCTTGGAATGTATGTATGCACTTTACTTTTTTTTTTTTTTTTTTTTGTGATGCCTTTGTGGCTTGGCCTGTCTCCTCATAGCCATATGGCAGGTTTCGCCTGCTAGGTGGGCTGGGGGGGGCAGTGCTTGGAACTAACTAACTAACTAACTAAATAACTAACTGAAACGAGCTTCTGAAATATTTTGAATTTTAGAGTAATTTACAGAATATTTTGTCAGGCATAGTAAAATTTAGCACTTTTCTCACACACAACACACACACAAAAAATTTAATTTATTTTTTCTCAGTTTATCACAAAAAGCTCACTTCAATAAATACTAGGAAACATAATAAATAAGCCACAAAAATTTTAGATACCTGTGAGCAGTAGTTCCTGAGAAAAGGTACATCGAGTGTAAAAAAAATCACATTTGGAGAAAAACGCGTTTTTATGTAAAAATCCTTATTTATCAAAGCATTCGATGACAAATTAAAACTAGATTTTTTTTACAGTTCTAATTTTCATAGTGATTAGACAATGATATTTTTAGAAAGCTAAAAGTGTAGAGAATTTGAAAATGCAGAAATCCGAAATCACCAATTTTTGAAGATTTTTGGCTTCCAAGACCCCTTAAAGATAATTATAATTCATTCTTAATCTGTGCAGAGTAGCTAAACTAAATCTTAGTTTTTGTCACATATTACATGGATACGAACCAGTTTCCATTAGAATATCCTCCATGAAGGCATCCATTAGACAGACAGCCTCCGTGCATTTCGCCATAACCCAATAATCCAATCCCATCTCTTTCCTCAGGCTTGACCAGAACAGAAAATGGTGCAGGCGATTGCTAAAACACTAAACATTACGTAACTAAAGTAAGTATACATTGTGTTTTTAGTTTTATCAGCTGACCAGCGAACGAGAAGTAAGATCACGGAATACCGACAGGGTTCAGATCCCGGCGAAAAGGCTGTCTGCATAGTAGTTTTGATGTTATTCTCATGTGTAACGTAAATACTATCATTTTCCCTTACCTCCACGAAGGAATCCCTTTCCTTAGGCAAATATTTTTTGCACTTTGTTCATTAGCTAGTCTTAATTTTTATACCAAAGTAATTTGAAAATGCCTTATTTTGATTCCAGCAATGGAGGAGGTAATTTTGACATGCGGAGAAGATACGCTCAATAATAAAAATGCCAACGCAACTAGCCAGCTAATTCGCCGGACGATGGCGAAAATGGAACAAAAAGCGCAGTTTATATTGCGGTAGGAAGAATTTTAAATCTTTTATAACTGTTCATATGGACAGGCTAATGAGGAGCTCGCCTCACCTTAATTTGAAGGCTACTTTACTAAGACACATATTTTTTGCTTTGTAGGAAAAAAAAAAAAGATATTCAGGCTTTTATCATTTGTAACTTCGAAATTCCATAAATCTGCGTTTTAACTCTTTAACGCACTTTTCAGCAAACTATTGTCCACAGACATCATTTGAAGAATAGTCACTCTGGAATTCTTGATATAATTGTGAGTGAAAAATACAAAGCTATCGACTTCACGCAGAAATTTGGACCTAGGGATTCCTAAGATTCAGAACATCTTCTAAGTGTCTAAGATTATATGCAAGGAAAATTCAGCTTAGGTAACAAATTAAATGCATAGAATCATGTCTAACTTGTAAGTGAAATGTTGGTATTTGAAAACGATGAAATTTTTTAAACTGAGTACTTTCTATAAATGAAGCTCTTTGTATGAACCACTATAATCATCGTATTTTTAGTTATAGCGGCCGAGTAACAGTAAAGAAGGGCAATCATAGAGTCTCTTCGGAATTCGCTGAAATTGAATGTTTGGTGCAAAGAAATATATGATTGCACTGTGCCATTTATGCTTAAGGTTTACTAAAATGTTATTCAATTTATTTCTTTCCTTTTTACCTCTTTTCGCGGCAAGGTTCGCTCATTACAGAATTTATGTTGACTTTGAGTGGAAAACAGTTTTACTATAAAGTGTGAATAAGAATGTAAGAGTTTGACCCATTTCCACTATCTCGCCGATCAAAGAAAACACTGTTCTTGGGGGAAATACTTTAGACTGAGGTTAGCTCCTGTTTGGCAAGTGCATGTTCGAAATTCTATCGCAGTTTAGGAGATCTTGCAATGTCTGTCTAAGCTAGATTTAATTGTTGAACTTATTCCCTTTCTGAATACTTGTGTTGAAACCAGGTCCAGTTTGGCTGATAGTTTTGTGTTTTGTATATTTTAGTAAGTGTGACAGTGAGGTAGAATAAATTTAAAGTGTTTTAATTCTAGGTCTGTTTGTTTCATGGTTAGCTATTTTGATGGCGATAATTCACCTAATAGAATAAAAGTAACACCTTATTTTTATCTAGTAGACAGCGCTAAGCTACTTGGAACCCAAGGCAGGTGTTACGGCATAAATGACATTTTTATTTTCATTGAAAAAACACTCGCATTAAATGGTTCCGCATTAAATGGTTATTTGGACGTGCTCCTTCCTGATAGAAGACATCGAAAAATACTCATAACGTCATCTTTCAACGAGATGGCGACCTCCATATTATAGTAGCAATGTGCTCCACTCCCTGAATGACACGTTTTGAAATTCAGTGGATTGGTAGAGCTGGTTCTATTCTTTGTCCATTAGGAGTCCTGATTTAATGCCAATTGGCATTTTCATGTAGTGATATATAAAAAATATGTGTTTTGAACCCTCTTTGAGATAAAATTGTTGCGGTCATATCTGACAAGTGGATGGGAATACAATACATTTCATAGCGTAGTGAACGTGGATGGGAATACAATACATTTTGATATCTGCAGTGAAAACAAACTAAGATTCAGAACATCTTCTAAGTGTCTAAGATTATATGCAAGGAAAATTCAACTTAGGTAACAAATTAAATGCATAGAATCATGTCTAACTTGTAAGTGAAATGTTGGTATTTGGAAACGATAAATTTTTTTAAACTGAGTACTTTCTGATGAAATTTTTTAAACTGAGTACTTTTACTGAAATTTAGTAATTTTATAGTAAAAATATTTGAATTTTCAAACTGCAAAATAAAACTGGATTGGATTGGAATGGATTGGATTATTTAATTATGGCAAAGCACACGAGGGCTATCTGCCTAAAATAAAATAAAACTGATTAAAATATCAGGTCGATCGCTTTCGATAACCCTTATTATAGCGTTTCAAGATGTCAACTAATCGACCGAGATACAGTATACCGCCAAGATGACATCCGTCCTAGGTTGAGCTGTGCGGAATTGGATGTCATCCTATTGGGAAATTGGGACATAGAGATAAAAAATTGTTATTATTAATGAAGCAAATCATTATTTAATGCATGAAAAGATCGACATATGGAAAACATTAGGTAAAGGTAAGTTTATAAAGACCTTGTGCAAGTACTATGTCATTATATCTCCTATTTCTGCTCACTACTTAGATATTTTTCTGATGTGGAGGTACATGGTTTTGAACCTTAGGCACTCCGTAACTTATAATCATTGGCATTCTTCTTCAGTTCTAGTCAATTTAAGGAAATCTAATAAATAAATAAATAAATAAAAAAGATTCTAAAACTGAAGTTAAAAACCAGAAAAATTCGAAGTTATGGAAAACATTGGAGGGTGCCTATAATACCTCAGCAATATGCATTAAATAATGAACTGGCAGAATTAGGGATTAGAATAAGTTTGTTGGACGAATTTTAATTTCTGTCACATTCTGTGGTTCGGCAAAGCCCAGAGTTCTGGTTCCGTTTTACGGTTATAAGGTATTTTTCTCACTCCTTTCAGCATGACTTCGTGCTGTCACGACAGCACACTCGGCGCGTATTCGAGAGGTCCCAGCAAGGGCATTGCACATTTTTCACGTCTCCTTCTACAAAATAACCTAATGACTCTACACGGTTATTCAACAGAAATTATTTATGGAACTTGCGAATTCGTCCAAAATGCACTTTAAAAAGTGAGACTTTAAATACTACTGACATATCATGGCTTTAAACAGAATCATTTTAATATGAACTTAAGGTCATTAAGTTTCGTATACATCGAACTTAATGTATAAGTTTCGTATACATTAAGTTCGTAATATCGAAAATTTTGATATGTATCGATTGCTTCATTTTATTTTTGCCCCTCTCAATAGAGGTTCCACGTTTTTCATTTTAAATATCATTTAATTTTTTTTAAATATTATTTAAATTATTTATTTTAAATATTATTTAAAAAGGAAAAAAATTTCATTTTAAATTTTATTTTGCATTATATATTTAATTTATTTATTATATGATATATATCATATATTTATTATATCATATATTTCATAACATAGAATTTAATTATGTTTCTGTCTTAAATGTCCTTTTAAATCTTATTTTTATTGGTAAAACTTTCTTGGTAAAGAAGTATATCTGTAACATTAGACATTTTTTAATAATAACTTGACATATAATTTCTCTATATACTTTACTGATATATTTTCTATTATTCTATGTAGTTACAATTAAACATTACAGTCTTTTTATACGAATTACTTCTTCAGTTTTGTCAAAGCATATAAACAGAAATGGAAATTCAATTAAAATATGTAAATAAAGTGACGTTAAAATTCATTTCTCTTATAGGTGGAGGTGCTGAATGCTGATTCCGATCGTTGCCAGTTTGGTGCATTTGCATTTATAGCTGGTTTGTATGCGCCGGCGGAAGAATACCGTTTCACAGACGAAATTCGGTGGCAGCCAGTTATCAGCAGACATTACGTAGATAAAAGAAATAGAGTAAGTTTGTTTCCCTGTAAATCCTTCGTCCTTCGTCTGCACTTTAACTGATTTTTTGCAGATGTGCTGAAATGTGTAACAACGGCAACAATGGCATAAAAAACAAAAAGCAGTCATTCATTGCACGGATTTATGATAATAATATTAAACATTTAAAGACTTGATTCGTATTTAAATATGATGAAATATGACTAATTCCGTTTAGTATTTTTAATTGTTTCTGATAGTAGTCATACGCCGCCCAGACGGTACAGTGGTTAGGGAAGCCTGACTGCGATACCGAAGGGCCTGGGTTCGAATCCCGGAGTAGGCATGGTTGTAACTGTCCGTCCTTTCAATAGGAGGCGATGGCAGCCCACCAATTAGGTGCCTCCATAATGAAGAGACCACCACATCTGGCCTTGTATAGATTAATAGACTGTGTTAAACTGTAACTGATTACAATCTGCCACTGGAAAAATAAAACAATAGTCCATACAGTGTAATTTACATATATTACATCCATCTTTTACTATCACCTACTTAACTAGAAAAGCGCAAATAATTATACGAATTTAAAATTTTAATTAAAAATTTGTATTTATTAAAATTTGATGCAAAATCTCTTCAGGTACTAAAGTTTAATTGATTTTAATTGTCTGCAATATACATTGCAGGGGACAATTAAAGACAATTAAATGGGATAGTTCTATATCTCCCCTTCTGCTGGGCCGATTGATGAAATTCAAACTGCGTTTTTCATGTCTCGAAAGCGCGACTTAGGATATATATTAGATTTATATATAGCATTGTTCTGTCAGAGGTATTTTGACACAAAATCGGACTCTTTCCTGAACTAACATACCAATTTTTTTATGTCTCGATGTCGCATGTCTCGATTCTGCGACTCAAATTATGCCTAAATTTTGTAAAATTTTATGAAAAATTTACGGCGAAATTCAAAAATTTATCGAGGCCCACTTTTTTTCAGCTTGCGCCAATAATAATTCACTTGGTGAACTTCTTAATTTATAGCAACCCCTTTTTTTCATTATACTGAGCGGGAAAACGTCATCGTTCATACTTTCAAATAATTTTAACAGAGTAAACCACGTATGCCGCTGTTACCGCTTATAATATATATACCAAATTTCAAAAGGCACCTATATATAAATTCATGTATATCTTAGAAAATTTTGAATAGAAAACTTAAAAATTTTATATGTGATAATGCACAAATGTTTTCGAAAAATTTGTAAACGATATTTAAAAATAAATCATAAAAATGAGCGAATTATATATGGATTAAACCTAAATTTCGAATTCTGCAAGAAGGAATCAAGCAAGTTGAATAAAAAATAGAGATACTAATAAATATATATCAAACTCAATTAACATCGAGAAGGTAAAATTTTGAGAGCTAATTTTTTAGAAAATACTCTTACAATTTTTAGAAAACTCGGCAGTTTGGCATAATTTGAGTCGTAGAATCGAACTATGGAAAACATTTGGCGTGTCATTTCAGAAAAAGTCCTATTCTGTGTCAAAATACCTATATTAGAACAATGCTATATATAAATCTAATACATATCCTAAGTCGCGCTTTCGAGACATGAAAAACGCAAATTGAATTTCGTCAATTGGCCCAGTAGAACGATAGATATAGATCTGTTCCCCCCCTTTTTTTTTTGCATAGTGTACATGAAAACTAAATTATAAAAAAGCAGTATCTTTATTGTCTTTTTTCCATTGTACAGATTCGAAATTCTGTATAATTCTTATACTAATTTCCAGATTTCTTATTCCCAAAATATTTCTGCGAATCTTTTGGAATACATACTGTGATTTAAAGCTATTCATGTAGTGTTTCAAAATAAGCAGCAATTAGTAGTAGTATTAATAGTAGTAGTAAGTAAACTAAGCAGTGTTTCAGAATGTTTTGGAGTTCTATAAAAATTCTTCCTTTTCCCAAATTCATTAAGTCAGGAAACATCGCATTTAGGTAAGAAACTGTTTTACTTCTTCTGAATTTTAGCAATCATCTTCATGAAACACAATTTTATACAATATTGAAGTAAATTAATTTTTCTTAGAGAAGGTAAATTTTCAAATGCGCCACCGTGCTTAAATACATACAAATGCGACTGTCATACACATATATGCGACTTTCAAATGCCTGTTAAAATACAGTATTTCAAATAAAGATAACATTTTTGATGTAGCTCTTTTCCTTTGCTCGATTCTTCCGTCTGATATTTATTCATATTAAAAAGTAGAATTGTTTTTATGAAGTCTTTTGGACAAGCAAATGGTTAGCTCTAGATCTGTAATTATGCGAGTTTTACTCGAATTAAAACTTTATTTTTATGCTAAATTTGTTTTGTATTCCTATTTATTTCCGACAGCTACTCTAGAAATTTAAACTAAATGCCTAGCCAAAGTGTAACTGAAGAAAGAGTATTGTTGCAACGCTTTTCCTCTTGTGTTCCTGCCCACATATAATACCTGCTCATTTCATGAGGTTTAGAGGTCGTGTTTATATTCTAGAAGCCAGACTGATGGTATTTGATTTACTATTTGCTTGTATATATTTATCTCTTTTCATTTCCTGACTCCTAAGAAGGGGTACTTAAACTAATGGCCCAAAGAGGCGGTAGCCCAGAAGAGCTATTAGTCTCAAAATAGCATTTTGTGGCATTTCAGTATAAACGACGAATCACTTTTTATATTGTTTCCATCAAATATTATCGCCCTGCATTATATTTAAAGAAAATAATCATTGAAGCAACTGAGTGAATGTATGCTTGTTTTTCGCATTGTGAAAAACAACTGTACCTACACCCATCCAATTTTGCATAACGTAATCATTCATCCGAACATGGATACGTGGGAACTCGAATTTGTTTTATTATCTATTTCACATTTTGTAAAGCTTTAACGAATTTTTGATTAACAAACTCAACGATTTCAAAGCAAGCAATGGAAATACTGTACCGAAAAATACATTTTTATCTCCAGCACGCCAAACTGTCTATCGGAAATGCTAAAGGTATGCTGTTTTTAAATATTTTGTAATACTGCTGTTGAATTGAATTTTACGTGGTTTAAGTGCAAAGAAAATGATATTTAATAAGTAAAGGTAACACAAAAAAGGTTTAAAAAACGCCCCATTGGGCGTGATATAAAATCTGAAAGCTGTCAGATTTTTTTCTTTAAGTTGTTATATTTTTAGTTGTAATCTACCAATATAGTACCCATAAGTGTTCAGTTTGATTTTATTCTTGTTATTAAATTAGTACTTGGATTCTTCAGTTAAACTCAAGATTGCTAAATTACCATCGATTATAATCTCAGAGGATTATATTTGTGCAATTTTAAATGTAAATAAATCTTATCGTTCTTAACGATTAACGATTATAGCGATATAGCGATATATTACAACGATTATGTGTCAAATTATGGTAATCAATTTGTGACTATTCTGTAATGATATATTTTATTCTAATAACATGGACGTTTCTACTTAAAAATGCCATTTTGAATAAAAAGATAATTTATTTCTCAAAAATGGGCGGAAATACAGGATTTTTAAAGACAGTTTCTGCGTAAACAGTTCAGTTTTACAGAATGTTCATTACTTTTATTGCGGGAACTTTTCTACAGCGCAATGATGTTTAAAGTTTTTTTTTTTAAAGATGATACGATTTCGGTACACAGAGAAGATGTCAGTTTTTCACTTTGAGTTTTACTCCCTCTCTATAGGTTTCCGTCTTTTCCCCATTTCCATCTCTGGTTTGTTCACACCAGCGGTTCTCAACCTTTTGAGGAACGCGTACCATCTAAATAAAAATTGAAAACCTTTAGTAACATCACTACAAAGTGCTACTACCGCTACCAATTTTAAATAAAACTCAGATCGCATAAATTTAAAAAAACCTCAATCAGGATGTGCGTGTTTTAATTTTTTAATTTAATAGCTAAAAATATTTTGCTTCTTTGCGTACCAGCTATTTTTCTCTTGTGTACCACCGGTTGAGAACCTCTGGTTCACACCTTTTTCTTAAAAAATGAAACTGACAAGCGTTTTCAAATAGCATGTATCCGTATCTATTAGAATGTTCAAATGAAACAGAAGGACGAATTATCTAAAATACAAAAAAGAAAATTATGTTAAAAGACAGTTCATTAAATAATTCTAATATTAATGCGAATTTGTAATCTTTGTGGTGAACAGATTCTCAGTGTTTACTCTTCTCTGAATAATAACTCACACTTTTACACAAAAATTAAGCCAATGGATTGTATTAACTACTTTTATTCAGACGCAATTCGCGACTTTCTCCACGACATATCGCCGAAAGTAGAACGCGGTGTAGAATTCTCTGTGAGTATTTGGACAGAAATTGAAAAATGTTTCCACAATAGATGAATTTTGGGTATATTTAAATGACCGCAGTAAGAAGAAACCCATTTATTATCATCAAAGAGAAGAAAAAATGTCTTAGAACATGGTTCAAAGAATTTAAAGAGAGTTTTTCAAAGGAATTTATGATTGTTGCTGGTTTTTGATATAATAGCAAGAAACGGTTATCAAGACCATACCCTTCACTCATATCACTATTAAATCTTCTGATGTATCACCCATGGAGTTTTGCGCTTTTAGACTTTTAAAAAGCGGAGTGTTCAAATGTCGACCTGTAACCCTCCTTGGATTTTGAAAGCTGCTCAAGAGGAATGCGACAAAACACCTTTTCCGACACTACAAAAGGGTTTGTCTTGGAAATCACTATGTAGAAAATGGTGTATTAAATTATTGTGTAGTGAAGATTAAGGGTTATAAAATGGAACATTTAAAATGCAAAAATTCTGGGTAAAATATTTTTGTAAATACAATGAAAATTATCTAAAAGATTTGCGAAAAGTCTCTGTACCCATTGTAAAATATTTATTTTGAAATTTAATAGTTTATAGCAGCGGCATTCAAACTTTGTAGCAGTGCGATCCAATACAAAGACAACCCC